AAAAAGAGGAAGACCCTCAATGAGATGGACTGACACAATGACTGCAACAATGGGCCCAAATGTAAAACGACTGTGAGGATGGCGCAGAACCGGGCAGTGTTTCGTTCTGTTGTACATAGGGTCGCTATGAGTTGGAACTGACTCGACAGACCCCAACAACAACAACAAAATGACCAGGGAAGGTTCTCTTAGGAAGATGGAGTAGGCAAGGGGGCTTTCCAAGGCCTGGAAGCGTCTACATGATTTCTGGGAGGCCAGGAGGACACCATTAACAGAATGAGCTAAACTGATTTAGCACACATTAGGTATTTTCTTTTGATATTAGTTTGTAAACATAGAATAATTCACATAATATTTACAAAGTTACAGGAAAGCTAACTATTTTTTTGTACATAGAAACCATATTCAATCTACAGAGAAAAAACTGTGCTCTGAATTGCAGCTGGTTCACTCTTACTTAAGGTATTAACTTCCACCTAGTGGCCAATGCCAGAACTGACCAGAAGGCACGAAATTCCAAGAGGAAACTTTCAATAAACATGCCTAAAAAAAAAAAATCTATTTTCAATGATATCATATTACAAACAAAAAAGCATGCACGTACTTACCTCCATTTTCTGATTTTTCTGAAATACCAGATAATTTCCAAAATGCTTTCATTTGTTCTGCATTCCTGTCATAAAAACAAAATATCTTTAGATTAAATGTCTAGTATAGTATGTTACACACAGGTGAGCATTCAATAAATGAATTTTAAAATTTTCACTTGAACAACTATAGTGCTAAATTTACTTTAAATAGTCTCACATGGTGAAAACATGTCTACAATATAGTGTAAATATAATATTTCACATTTCTGAATTAATGGAATTTTGCCAAATTATGTAATTCTTCTCATTTCTACCGGTCAGAAAAAGGAAAACTAAATGTGTATAGCTGGCTCAGTACCTTCATTTATCAAGGAAAACAAACTGTTATTTATTAAATAGTGAAGCAAATATAAGCGTGGTTAGAGTCTATACTACTAATAACAGAGACGACAAGAAAAGTGATTAAAAGATTGGATTAACTAATACTATTGAACACCTAGTCATATGCCAGATGCAATATTTAATCCTGTAAAATAAGTATTATTCTTATTTTTTTAAACCGAAAAAAAGAAAAAAAAAAAAGAAGCTTACAGAGGTTAAGAATTTGCCTGAGGGTAAAGTTAGTATGGTGGTAACAGAAAAGCTAGTTTTGTTTATTTTGGACTGAGGTTACTATAGCTTAACTAGTAAAACAACAGCATCTTTTATAGCAATGGTTTGTATGAGTAAATGCACTAAAACTTTTCAAACTTACAAACCAACTTTCAGAAGTTGGGTTCTAAAAGCTGGGGACTGCGACAGAAATCTGGCAGGAATGCAGAAATATACTTAATTTACCATATTGCAGGAGGAAGGGACTGCATGTTTGTGACTCCTCCATCCACTGGTACCACCACCTGTATGTTGGAAAGCACACTTGGTGCCACCATAGCTTCTGGGTTATACTTGTAATCCACTCTGAGATCTGTGGTGCCAGCACTACATTTCCAGTACGTTGCAAGATTCAGAGGAGTGGACTGAATACCATTTGATGATACCTTTACAGAGGAAAAACAAACAAACAATTATCTTTGGCTTGAAAAGTAAACAAGCCACGTTAATGACATGGATACTTGAACATAAGGGTTCACAGAATCAAAAATATCTAATGTGGGGGCTGTCTGTTGCTAGGTAGAATAAAGCAGACTCATGTCAAAGGAGCAAGGATTACTCTCAAAGTGTGGACCTGGGATTACCTACATAAAAATTTTAGTAATGTTTGTTAAAAATATGCATTCCCTTGGCTCCAACTGCATAAAATCTGATGCAACTGCATGGGGACAGGGCCCAGAAATGAGCATGTCATCAGGTGATTCTTATTTATACATGTGAAGTTTGAGAACCTCTCAACACTCAACACAGAATACTATGATTCTTTATCAATTTTAAGAATTTAACGTGGCGACAAAAAAGGTCACCACGCAGTTCCTCAAGCCTGGAGTTAGAATGTTTCCAACTTCAAACGTTTAATCATATGACACATAGTAAGTGATGCAATTCCTTCAAAGCTTTCAGCAGTTTTGCTCAAATGGCTCCTTCTCATTGAGACCTATTCTGATCACCCTGTTTAATTTTACATTGAAAATTGCATTTTCAATCTTCCTTACCTTACTCTACACTTCTCTTTTTCTCCATACCACTTATTTTCTAAATACAATTATTCACTTATGATATTTACTGCCTCCCCACCACAGTCCTGGGAATTAGCAAGCACTGAATAAAAAAATGTCTGCTGAATGAATGAACAAACGAATACTAGGAATAAAATTTAAGCCAACTTAAGTGGCAGCACTTTTTTACTCTTTAAGTATTTCTTTCCTAGAAACATAAAGCATTTTAATACAATTGCCCTATTAAAAATTCAAATACGCAGTTGTTAGCTGCCATCCAGTCAACGCCGACTCATAGTGACTTCATGTACAAAAGAATGAAATGGTGCCCTGTCCTGTGTCATCCTCACCATCACTAGCATGTCTGAGCCCCTGATTGTGGCTACTGTGCCAATCCATCTCATCAAGGGTCTCCCATGCCCTCACTGGCCCTCTACTTCACCAAACATGATGTTCTCCTCTTGCAATTAATCCCTCCTGATGACGTGTCCAAAGCAAGTGAGTGTGACAATGCTCTGTTGTGATTCATAAGGTTTTCATTGGCTCATCAACAGAAGTAGGTTGCCAGGCCTTTCTTCCTAGTTTGTCTTAGTCTGGAAGTGCCACACTGAAACCTGTTCAGTGTTTGAGTGATCCTGCTGGTATACGAAATACCAGTGGAATAGCTTCTATCATCATCGCAACCCGCAAGCCACCACAGTATGACAAACTGACAGACAGGTGGTGGTCAAACAATACAGAAGTACATAAAATAGAAATTTTATCCCTTGGCAATGTTACTCTCATTGGTATCTGTTAACATTGTGGTATATATCATTCCAGAGTTCTTAGGCATATGCAAACATGGATCCACTTCATTCTTTTCAATGGCTGCAATAACTTATTTAATAAATCTCCTCCTCCACTGGTGTGTACTTAAGTGGTTTCTAAACAATGTAGCAGTGAATATCATTTGTACTTTTATCTTGGCCTACTTGTGCGATTTCTGAAGAATAAATTTCTGGAAGTGGAATTGTTGAATTAAAGGTTACATCTATTTAACAATGTAAAAGAATTGCCTTCAAAGAGGTTCTACTAATTTGTACTCATTAACACAGTGGTCACACCCCTCTTAATACTAGATAGAGCAATTTTTTCTCATTTTTGTCAATCTAAAACAGGTAACTCATTGCTGTCTTAATATGAATTGTTGCTTAATACTGACATGGAACATCTTTCCATATATTATCCATCTACTGCATTATTCACCTTACTTAATGACTTATAAGAGCTCTTTGGGGGTAAGTCCTTTGGTCTATCTTATGTGTTGCAAATACTTTTCTCTCACATTTAACATTGATTCTGTTTAAGGGTTTGTTTTCACCAAATATCTTATACATAGAATTTATTTTTATGTATCAAATATCTCAATTTCTTCTTGCATGGCTTCTGGGTTTTATGGGGTACTTAGAAAGGTCTTCCACACTTTAAGATTAAAATATGTAATAAATATGTTACACACACATATATATACACATATATATTCACCTATAATTTATTTTAGTACCTTTATACACATGGATTTTATTTTGGTTAAAAATGTGAGTTAGGGATTCAGCTTAATTTTTCTTGAATGTCTAGCATGCTGCCCCACCCAACACCATTTATTGAACAATTCATCTTTTCCACATTACCTTCAAATACTACTTTGTCATATAAACAATTTTCCATTTATTCTTAGATCTATTTCTGGATACTCTAATCTGCTCCATTCATCTGGCTATCTATTACTGTGCCAGTTCCAAACTATTTTAAATACTGTTGCCTTATAATAAAGTATCGAGGAGCCCTGGTGGTGCAGGGGTTAAGTGCTCAGCTGCTAATCGAAAGGTCAGCGGTTCAAACCCACTCCATAGAAGAAAGATGTGGCAGTCTGCTTCTGAAAAGATTACAGCCTTGGAAACCCTATGGGGGCAGTTCTACTCTGTCTTACATGGTTGTTATAAGTCAAAATCGACTCAATGGCAATGGGTTGAGTTTATAACAAGTATTCCCATCACAGCAAAAATATTACTCCTCCATTACTGTTTAAGACGTTTTCTGACTAAGTCTTTCAAGCTTTATTCTTCCAGAGAACTTAAAAATTACTGTCAAATCTCCAAACACACACACAGGCACACGCACACCCACCTTTACTGAGTTTCTGATCAGGGTCACCTTAAATTTATAGGTTAATTTAGAGACAGCTTTTTTTTTTTTTTTTTTTTAAACAACATTGAGTCTTTCTTTCAACGAACAAAGTAACCTTTCTAACTATATTCAAGTCAGTAGGGGTTTTGTTATGTTTCTTCCTAACTGTTCTTATTGTAAATATTTTTCTCCATTAGTTTTTCTAACTGGTTGTCTTAAAAGCTATTACTTTTTGTGTGAATTTTTAACTGACCACCTTACTAAATTCACCTATATCATACAGCTTTTTCAGTTGATTCTCTTGTGTTTTCCATGAATACAATATCACCTGTAAATAACAATAATTTCGTTTCCTTTTTTCTAATACTTATTACTGATTATTTTACTCTCTTGGCTCATTGCACTGGCTAACACATCCATAAAAATCTTACACACCTAACAGGAATGACAGGTATCTTTGCTACACCTAACATTACTGGATTGCTTTAGGCACTTCACTATTAAGCCTGATGCTGCTGGTCTTTATTTGAGATAAATATATTTTTTTGGGTTAGGGAAGCATTCATGTATTTATATTTACTCATTACTCAGGAATAGATCGTGAATTTAACTAAATTGGTCAAAATGTCCATTAGTTTATTAACAGATTTTCTAATTTAGAAGTATCTTTGCACTTCTGGAACAAACCTCATTTGGCTTTGATACATTATTTAATAATCTGCTATACTGTATTTGTTAATATTTTAATTTAGGATTTTTAACAATGATATGAAACTCACCTGATACTTTAATACATCTATATTATAATAAGAAGCAGCTGGATTTTGCTCTGACAGTTTCTTGAGGTAGACAGTAACAGCTTGCATGTTCATCCAAAAATCTTTTGTGTTGGAATCACACTGTGATGGATCACTATATACAGAAGAAATATTTTTGTTATTTTGTTTGTCTTTATCCTTTACCTCTTGTTAATCTGGTGACCTGGGAAAGACTAGTAGAAATGAACTAAATGGTGGGATGAAGGAAAAGTAACATTAGGGGATAAAGAACAGAACACAGCAGAAGCTTGCCTGAAAGAAGAGAAGATGAAGAGATGGAGAGGATTTAACAACTACTACCACCAACATCAAAACAAAGACACAGGAAGGCTGTTTAATAATAAGAATTTTGGTATTGTCTTCAAAGTGAATATTATTGTTTCAGAAAAGGAAACAATTTCTTAAAAAAGAAGTTTCACCTTCAAAACACTCTAAGATAATTAAAAGTACACAAACCTGAATACAAGTTGTGCATTAGGAAGAATTTGCTCTAGTCTGCTGATATTTTTCACCCTGAAGCATAGTACAGCTGGAGATGGATTGCTAGTGAAGACTTTAATAATTCCACTTGGAAATGATATTGTCATGTCACCAGTGATCTTCACAATACACCTGAAATTGGGGATTTTGAAAAGTGTTTAAATAAAATGCTTTAATCTCCAAAGTATATTTGAATTAAAAAGGAATAAGCACATATATATCATATTCTATGTGTGTGTGTATACACACATATCTTTCATCCTAACTGTGGATGAATTAATTTTTCAATTTAATTATAAAAAAGGATTTTACATGAAAATAGCATACTGATCTAGCATTATCTTTTACTGAAATTAAACTCTCAACACAAATCCAAGGGTGATAACTTTTCTGTGGTAACCATCCCCTGGCTGTCCCCTAAAGGCACTGCTGCCCCAGTAACAATCCCTAGTTATAGTTAGGTCCCTAGTTATAGTTAGGTCCCTAGTTATAGTTAGGTCCCTAGTTATAGTTAGGCTTCTCTCCCAAATCCCACAATGTACTGGGCCTGATGGTGGTGGCAGATGTCATTCTTGCTCCTCATGACCTCTTCCAACCCTTTTGAAACCCATGCCACTGAAATATACTACTCACTACCCCATCCCCATTGAAGTCATGTTTAACACTTCCTTTCATTTTCTGAAAACTTTTGCTCTAGGCTTCCCACCTCACTCAAAATAAATTCAAAACTCCTTATCATGGCCTACACTACAACCCTTATCTGGTATCTCTCTGGATTCATCTTCCACTACTCTCCCCCTTGCTTACTCCTACCCAGCAACACGGGTGTCCTTGCTGTTTCTTGAATATGCCAAGCATGTTTAAACTTAGTTCCTTACACTCACTGGTTCCCTCTTCCTGGAATGCTCTTCCTTCGGATATCTCCATTGCTTGCTCCTCCATATCCTTCAAGCAGCTGCTTAAATTAACCTCATCAAAGAGATCATTCTATCTAAAACAGTAGCCCTCCACTGTTACTGTCTATCCCCTACCCTGCTTTATTTTTCTTCATAGCATATATCAATATCTGATAAACCCAGAAAACCAAACCTACCACTGTCAAGTCAATTCTGACTCACAGAGATTGGACAGGACAGAGCAGAACTGCCCCATAGGGGTTTCCAAGGCTGTAATCTTTATAGGAGCAGATGGGCACACCTTTCTCCTGTGGAGCGGCTGGTGGGTTCAAACTGCCAACCTTTTGGATCTGTTTCTTTGATTATCGTATTTTTATGCAAATAACATGCACCTTCTGTATCTATTTGCCAACCGCTCCCTCCCCTCATGAAGTATTTTCGTAAGCACCGTTATGCCAATTTATTTTTTTACATGCTGCTGCAAAAAAAAATAAGCATACTGCACTTACAAAAATACCTTGGGGGGGCATGGCTGGCAAACATGTGTAGAAGGTGCACATTATTTGCGTAAAAATACAGTACTAGTTTTCCCTCATTATCATGCAAGCTCAGGAGAGAATTTTGTTTTGTTCACTAAACTATTCCCAGCACCTATAATAGAGTCTGACACATAGTAAGCACTCAAATATTTGATGAATGAATGAATGTTGAATGAGTAATGTTCTATAAGAAAAATAAGGGTGATCATTCACTCAAATATAATTCTCTTTAAAGAAAGAGGCTAAATTGGGTCTGAAAGAGTCATTTTAGATCTCCTTTGGAAATATCACACTTTCACCAATAATGTACATTAGGCCAATGTTCAAAGTTCCATCCCTACCTAGGTCAGCTGCCATCATCCTGCTCTACAGATATGCCAAACAACAAATATGTCACATCAGTCATAAAGCCTGGGCAAGAATGAAGATAAACTGGGGGACTAGGCACCACTACTGCTGATACAGCAAATATTTTAATTTGAAAGACAATCCCCAAATGACTATATTAGATAGCAAAAAGCAGATAAATAATAG